CCTGCTGGACAGCACTAATTCTGGTCCCTGACTGCATCCTATTCCCACCTGCCCTCAGGCCTTTGCTCACTCACTTTCCCTAGAGCACTTGACCCTCCCCACACTGCCCTCTACTGGCTGGCTCCTGCTGCTCCCTCAGGCCTCAACTGAAACCTCACTTTCTTTGAGAGGCTTTCCAGATCCGGTGAGGATCCTTTCCTATACATTCCAGTTACGTTCCCTCTGTTCCCAGCATTTCCCATGTTGTCTGCTTCACACTTGGTTACTTGCCTGTCTCTTCGCTGGATTGTAAGCTTGAGGGGACAGTCACGGTGTCTGTCTTACCACCACAGGGTCCTGCTGGCATATGGGAGCAGCTTAAAAAACATTTGTCTGATTGTCCTGGACACTGGGGACACTTATACTTTGGATATGGTTTGTGCTCCTGAGGGGCTCCCAGTTCAGGGGCAGGCAGGAGGGATGGGCCCATAGAGATCCTGCAGTGCCCCTAGTGATGGCCTCAGGGAGATGAGCAGAAAGCTGTGAGTACAGAACAGGGAGCAGCCCACCAGCTGGCCAGGGAGGGCTTCACGGAGGAGGTGATACTTGAGCTGGGCTCATGAAAGTTCCAGGCGGAGGGAACAGTGAGTGGAAAACTCACGATTGTATCCAGGGAATGGAAAGGAGACAGTGTGGCAGGGTCACCTGACTCATGGTGTCTGGCCTCCAAGAACTCCCAGCCCCAAGTGTAGTGCTGGGCCCCATGGGGACATGGGCATCCCACGCAGGCTGGTCCTTTGCAGTCCCTCCACATCCATACTCTTTAACTGTTTGTGGAGGGCAGGGAGACACTGATTTAAATCCTTCCCTTCTAGGGGCCAGCAGGTGGCATGGTGGTTAAGGGTGCTGGACTCCCACATGGCCAACTGTAGTTCGAGTCCCGGACCTCGCAGCTTTTTTTCTCATTTTACTTTTCTCTCTCTGGTCAAATTTTTTTTTAATTATTTTATTTTAACTTTATTTATTATTATTGTTACTTTCCAGTTTGATCATACAGACGCAGAGAGAGAGGAAAAGTGAGAAAGCAAGCCACCAGATTGAGGACTTAAACCACGGTCGGCCATGTGGGAGTCCAGTGCCTTTAACCACTACCTGCCCGCGGCCTATTCTTTTTCATTTTATATATAAAGCCTACTTATTTTTTAAGGAAGTTTTTGTTTGTTTGTTTTGCTATAGGGTGCATACACTTGCAAAAAAAAAAAAAAAAAGAGAGAGAAAAAAAATCCTTCCCTCCCAATAAGCAGCCTCTCCTGGGGTGACCCACTTCCTGGGTGTCAGTGGAGTGTGGTCATTGGTGCAATTCACAGCAGGAAGGAGTCCTTTTTATGTTCATTTAAGAATGTTTTGTACCTGAGCAGGTAAAATATTTACACCTCACTGACCTCCCCTCACCCCTGTGATGTTGTAGCCCCCCCAAACCCATTTGTAGGTTCTCGCCTCTGTTGTAATCTAGCTCTGACCCATGAGAAGGGAGCCCTGCCCCACCCTGTCCTGGCCCCCTGCTGCCTCCCTCAGGCTTCCTGTGGTTCGAGTGCAAGGAGGTGTGGATCGAGGGCCTGCGCAGTTACCTCCTGGACTGGTGGAACTTCCTGGACGTGGTCATCCTGTCCCTGTACCTGGCGTCCTTCGCGCTGCGCCTCCTCCTGGCTGGGCTGGCCCACATGCACTGTCGGGATGCTACCAAGGGGGCTGCCTGCCACTATTTCACCACAGCTGGTGAGTGTCCTGCCACGTGGCCCAGAACCCCCACTCTCCCTTTCCTGGCTGGCAGCCATAGACCCATCCTACCCCCACACAGAGCGAAGAGAGTGGCGCACCGAGGATCCGCAGTTCTTAGCTGAGGTCCTCTTCGCTGTCACCAGCATGCTCAGCTTCACCCGCCTGGCCTACATCCTCCCGGCCCACGAGTCCCTGGGCACTCTCCAGATCTCCATCGGCAGGATGATCGACGACATGATCCGGTGCGCACCGCCCCTGCTCAGAGACCCCTCTCTGAGAGACTGCACTGCCCCAGCTCTGATGCAGTGCAGAGGTTCTTGGCCTGGGTGCCACCACAGGCGTGGGCTGAGAGACTTCTGGCCCCCTAAAATGATAGGCAAAATTCAGAGTGTACATTCATTTCACTGCAGAGAGGGTCCATTAACTTGTATCCGATTCTCAAAGAGGCACAGGACTGTAGAAACGACTACCAACCACTGACGGCAGAAAGACCCATGCCGGGAGCTCAGCTCCTAGTTCTTTTCCCCTCTCTGCACCTTAGTTTCTCATCTTTGGGGGAAAAGTAGGGCAGTGGGGTCCCTTTGGGGCCTTCCCACTCTAGCCTTTGAACCCATGACCTTATCTGGTCTTCACGGTGCTCATCACCATCGCACAGAGCCACACCTGGCCTCTCAGCCTAATCAGAGCCCATAGTGAATGCCTACTCCCCTGGGATCCCCTGCTGGAAGTGGGACTAGGGTGGGCGCCCTTGGTGGGCAAAGCCCTAATTATGTCTATGAACAGCTTCAGCTTAGCTTGGGACAGAACCTCCCATTGCACCCCAGGATTTTTCTGGCCCTCCCTGTTGCAGGCTCATTTGTTCTCCCACGTGACTTAAACTCTTCTGGTGATAACTCTTCTCCCGTGGGACCCAATGACCCCAGTCAGCCCTGTTTGACTTCAGCATCTTAGTCCCTCCCTCGGAGACTGGTCCCTCTCTAGCCTTGACTACGCAGACTTAGTACCTGATACCCTTAAAGGGGAGCCTCTGCTTTGGCACCCACGTAAAGCCCTCCTCGTTTTCACCCCCTGACTTCTCTATTCTCAATAATAATTAAACAGAGCACCTGTCAAGTAGAGAACTAGGGAGGCCATCATCCCTCTTCCCAGAGCCTGACTTCTCCCAGGGTAGAGGCCTGCTCTGAGCCTTCCACATCCCACCCCTGCCAGGTTCATGTTCATCCTCATGATCATCCTGACCGCCTTCCTCTGTGGCCTCAACAACATCTACGTGCCCTACCAGGAGACGGAGCGGCTGGGCAAGTACGCGGGGACAGAGGCGGGGTGGGCAGGTGGGCAGCCGGGACCCCACCGCTTGATCCTCCATGTGATCATCTCTTCTTTTCCCTTCATTTATTCACTCAGTTAATTCAGTGTGTGTTCATTCCCTTTTTGATTTACTCTGCCACTCATTCACTCGCTCAGCTGTGCATCCATTTATTCATTCATCTTCTCCCCATTATCTGAAAAGTGTCAAGCCTATGAAGAACTTACAATGAAAACTACAGTGGATACCCATAGACCATCCATCTGGCTTCTTCAATGAATATTTCGCCATACTTCCTTAATTTCTTGTTCTTTTTTTTTTCCTGAAATTTACTTTAAGAGTAAGTTGCAAGGGCCGGCACTGTAGCCTAATGGTTAAGGGAGCTATAGTCCACATGACCAAGCACATTTTTAGTCCCAGCCCCAGTGATTTGAAAAACACACCAGGCACATGTATGTGCATGTCCACAATCCCAACAGGATGGAGAAATAAAGGAGAAGGGATTGTGATGTGACCATACTCCATCAGGGGGTGCTTTCTCCTTCTCTTTGTCTCTCTGTCTCTCTCTGGCAAGTACAGATGGCCTCTGGCAAAATTAAAAAAAAAAAAGAAGAAGTTGCAAATTCCATGACACTTCACTCCTAAATAGTTCGGGACATCTTCTGAGGGCATAACCACAAAATTATTATCGTATTCCTAATACTTAATCTTGGTACCATAATATAATTTATTATACTCGAATTCCCTACCTACCTAAAAGAAGTCTTGTAATTTTTTAAATCTGATACCCAGCATAGGATCGTGCATTACATTTAGTTGTCATAGCTCTTTAGTCTTTTTCTTTTTGTAGATGTTTCCACCTTAGGGAGTGTGTGCTCATCAGAGAGAGAGACAGAGACAGTGAGAAGCAAAATGAGAAGTCGCCCTCCAGGAGGATGGCTACATTGCAATCCCTCCTCCTTGGATCTTGGGCACAGTGTGCCCAGTGTGATTTTCAAGCGATTGGGTCCAGGACTGGAACCGTGGTCAGCCATGTGTGAGTCCAGTGACATAACTGCTATGCCATCTGCTGGCTCCATCTTTAGTCTCTTTTCATCCAGAACATTCCTCTTACCTTTGCTTTGTCTTGCATGACGAATAATCTTTTTTTTTTTTTTTTTTTTTTTTTTTTTTTTTTTGCTATAGGGCTTGAGCACTCCCCAGAAAGACAGAGAGAGACAGAGAGACAGAAAGACAGAAAGCAAGAAGTCACCCCCAGGAGGAATGACCACACTGTAATCCCTTCTCCTCCATTCTCCTCTCAGGATCTTGGCCATGCACGCGCACGTGCCCAACATGAGTTTAACCCACTGGGTCCGGGACTTGAACCACAGTCGACTACATGAAAGTCCAGCGACATAGCCATTAACGCTAACTGCTGGCTCCCAAATAAACTTTTTTGAAGAGGATAGAGCCAGTTATATTCCACAGTTGGGATATATCCATTTCCTCATGATTAGAGTCAAGGCAAGCAGTTTGGGAGAGAAGTAGCTGACCATGTCGACTTGCATCACAGCAGGAGGCACACAATGTCAGCTTGGCCTGTGGGCGAGGCCGGTTGGTCTAGCAGACCTCATCGTTGTGAAAGTACCAGAGAACCCCTGTTCATAACAAGGCAGGATGTCAAGACTGACTAGACTGCTCCCTTGCAGCCTTCGACCCGGTGGCTCTAGCACCTGCAGATGGTTTTTACCTGAGTCAGTTCTTACAGTGCTGGCATCAGGACAGAGACTTTCCACTTCTACCATTTCTCCTGCATTTCCTAACTCCCACTCTCATAAAACTAAGTGCTTTCAGGCTGCCTAGCACAGTGGGTAAGCCAGTGTGGGTCCTACATGGCCCACCATGGTTTGCATCCCAGCCTTAGTGGCTTGAAAAACACCAGGCACGTGTGCATGTGTGTCCAAATCCTGACAGGACGGCGAACTTGAGGAGAAGGGATTGCAACATGACTATGCCTTACTGGGGGATGCTTTCTCTCTCTCCCTCTCTGGCAAGTACATGTACTCTCTGGCAATTAAAAATTAATTACGTAGGTTGATAGACATGTAGACTGAGGGTAGTTAGCAATATTTAGAGGATAATAAGCAAAAGTATAGGGACCAGTAGATAGCATAACGGTTATGTCGCTGGACTTTCACATAGCTGACCGCAATTCAAGTCTTGGAACCGGCAGCTTAAAACTAATGCCAGGTGCGTATGTGTGTGCGTGCATGCCCAAAATCCCGAGAAGAGAAAGGAGGAGAAGGGATCAAGATGAAGTCAGATTCGCATTTCAAAAGAGTATCCTGGATGTAAAGTGGAGGGCAGAATAAAGAGAGTCTGAGGCAAGAAACTGGTGTGAGGGTGTGGTCACCTATTTCTGAACTGGTGCTGAGAGGGCGGAAATAAGATTCACAAGTAAATACAGTAGGAAGAGAAATGTGGCCTGCTCTGTGAGTGACTAACAGACAGACATGTTCTGTGGGGACAGAAGGGACTTCAGTAACGGCTTCCTGGAAGAGGTATCCCTGGAGTTGCTACCAAAGCACCATCCTCTCTCACCCAGACTATGGCGGTGGTTTCTTAGCTGGCCACGTCTCCATTGCCCCTCCAGCTTCCCTTCCATCCCACTCACAGCAGCCAACATGATCTCATCAAACGTCAGTCAGGCATCTTCCCTGCTTAGAACTCTTCCCTGCTTCCTACTGCTCCTAGGCCATGGTGAGGATCTGTGTTTTAACCCTGCAAGGACTGACATGATCTGGGTGGTTGCTACTTAGGCCTCACAAGCCTCTCTCTCCTCTGCTCTCTGAGCCTTGCCTTGCTGACCTTCTCTCAGTCTCAAATGGCCCCAAGCTTCCCTGTCTTGGGAAACTGCTCTTCTTCCCACCTCCTTCCCTGTCTCCTGCTGATTCTTCTGCGTCATTCAAAATTCAGTTTGAAGGCTTCTCAAAGAGGCTTTCCCCAGCCAGACTAGGCCAGAACCTCCTGTGCTGCTCCTTCACAGCACCTGATGGAAAAAACGCTGGCATAAGCAGTGTCTGTCTCACCCCAATGCCCCCCCAGAACATAAGGTCCTTGAAGACAGAGACTCCACTTGACGTCTTATTTCTTGAAGTGTCCTCAGTCCTATGACACTATCACGTGCTCAATTAATATCGGTTAGCTGAAAGGATAAAAGTTGGAGCTCACCTGTGGATCAGGGTGGTCCAGAGGGCTTCATGGAAGCAGAGCCCCTGTGACTGGATCCTGGAGTGTGAGGAGAAGTGCATCTGGGCAGAGCTCGGGCTTCTCTTCCCCCTTCATTTCCTGTCCTTTCCTTGGCCCGGCACGCCAGTTTCAATGAGACATTCCAGTTTCTGTTCTGGACCATGTTTGGCATGGAGGAGCACAGCGTGGTGGACATGCCTCAGTTTCTGGTGCCAGAATTCGTGGGCCGGGCCCTCTACGGCATCTTTACCATCGTCATGGTCATCGTGCTGCTCAACATGCTCATCGCCATGATCACCAACTCCTTCCAGAAGATCGAGGTGTGTGAACCAAGGCCAGCTCAGGCCAGGGAGAAAACAGAAGGAAGGAAGGAGGGGAACAGGGTGCGAGGAGTCAGGACACATGGGTGCCTTCTCTCCACTGCTGCCTTGCTTTGCCTCTTGGGACAAGTTGTCTTCTATAGTGTCTTCTAGAAGAGGTCTTAGCATCTCCAGACGCCAAGTCTAGACTCGCCCCACCGCACGGCTAGGACAAGGAGTGTACCGTGGAAAAGTCAGAGAGAAGGAAACGTTTATGGGTCAGGGTTTGCAGGCTGGAAAACAGGCAGGCAGGAGTGGGCCGTCAGAAGGAGGATGGAGAGTGAGGAGAGGATGTGGGTGATGGAGGAGGAAGGAGACAAGAATGGGGAAGAATTGGCACACCGGAGAGTAAGAGACACCAGAACTGGAGAAAAAGAGACTGAGTGGCCAAGAGGGCCAGGTGCCAAGGCCGCCCTTGCCAGCCCCCTGCCTCTTGGCCCACAGGACGCCGCTGATGTGGAGTGGAAGTTCGCCCGCTCCAAGCTCTACCTGTCCTACTTCCGAGAGGGCCTGACGCTGCCTGTGCCCTTTAACATCCTGCCCTCCCCAAAGGCCATCTTCTACTTTCTCAGGTAACGACCTTGCAGTTCCTACTCTCAACCCCCCAGGCACCAGGCCCTGCATGCCACTCAGCTTCCTGTCCCCCTTTCCCTGACTGACCTCTTCCCACCATCAAAACCTCTCAGGAGAATCTGCCGGTTCATTTGCTGTTGCTGCTCCTGCTGCAAAACCAAGAAGCCAGACCACCCTCCCATCCCCACCTTCGTGAGTACCTGGTCGGCTTGTCGCTGGTCTCCCTCACATCGGGCCTTCCACGGCCCTGTCCACACCACCCTCTTGTCACCACACTCCTGGCCATCTGTCCTTCTCCGTGTGTTCCCAGGAAGCCTGCTCCTGAGCCCCACTGTGCCTGCTCCTGTGCCTAGCTCTGGCCATTTCCCAAGTTTCCAGCCCTGTGTTCTTGGGCTTCAGCAGAAGTCCATGACACCCTCCTCCCAGGCACCGGCACTCTCAGTCCCGAATAAACCTTTTTGTCCTAATCAGGGCCAAGACTTGATTGACCTTGTTTCAAAAAGACACGTGAAAAGGCCCACGGCAAATGCCCCACAGACTGAAAATTAGAAGGCTGCCAGGCCTGAGAGGAGGCCAGGTCCAAAGAGATCGCTTGCCCTCGATATCTGCCCCCTGACCCAGGCCAGCTTAGCATGGGCCCCCTCCTAATTCAGAGCCCCCTCCTAAATGCCCGATCTACAGGGTTTTGCCTTCCACCTCCAACTCTCACCCTCGCCCTCACCTCCCATCCTGGTCCTCTTACACTTGACCCTTGCCCAGCTTCGGGCCCCTTGTCCACTCCCCTCCAGGACGACTCTGGCAGATGAAGGCAGACTGGGTGTAGGTGGCCTTTGGGACAGAAGGGTCTGTACAGACTTTACTCAGTTCTGTATCACCGGGGGTGGGGGTGGGCAGTGATCAGAGGAAGGGGGGTGGAAGGTCTCTCTCACCCTCCTGTCTTCCCTTCCAGGCCAATCCCGGGGTCGGACCAGGGGTAGGGCCTGGGGAGGGAGAGCGAGGATCCTACCGTCTCCGCGTCATCAAGGCTCTGGTGCAGCGCTACATAGAGACCGCCCGGCGGGAGTTCGAGGAGACCCGCAGGAAAGGTTAGTCCACACCTCCAGGTCCTCCCCAGTTCTGTTCCCGGGATGTACAACTGGGATGAACAGCCCATACCCGACTTGTACCCGTCACCCAGCCTGCTTGTCTAGGTGACCCCATCCCAGCCTGCCCTTAGAAGCCATGGCCTGAACAGTGTGGCCCCGTGTACTCAGTGACCCCCGAGCCAGGCAGGCATTTATTCCACGCATTTAATCACTCATTCTTGCCGTCGATCAGTGTCATTCACTCCCTTACCCATTCACTTGACCCATCAGTCACTCTTCCGCTCACTGGGTATTCACTCATCTTTCCCTTGGCTCCCAGCCCTCTGGTCCGCTCCTCAGCCCCTTCCTCTCCAGTTCTCGCATCTCTTACTCTCCAGCGTGCCGGCCCTTCTTCCCCATCCTTGTCTTCTTTTTCTTTTACCTCTTCTACCATGAGGAAGGTAAAGATGCCATAGGATACAATGTTCATTGTATGAGGGTGGCCTCCTCCACCCCAGGCCCTGTCCCAGAGGGAGGAAGCTTTTGTTGTGGTGGGGATAAGGGACCATCATACTAGGCAGAAAGCCTTGAGCCAGGAGGGAGCCAGACTGCAGTGGGAGCCCACAGGGGAGATACAGCCTGCCACCTTGAGGGACTGTGATGTGAGAAGGCGGAAGTTGGAGAAGCAGGAGGTAGAATTTGGACCCTGAAGGATAGGTGTGAGCAGACCAGGTGTAGATTGGGAAGCCCTGACAGGAGTGGATGTACGAACCTCCCTTAGAAACTGTTCCTATGGAGACCAGCAGGAGACACGATGGCTAAGGTGCTGGACTCTCACATGGTCAACTACTTTGAGTCCCAGATCTGTCAGCTTGAGAATCATGCCGGCCGCACGCGTGTGCGTGTGTGTACAAAATCCTGAGAGGAAAATGGAGGACGAGGGATTGTGGCATAGCCATCTCCCCTGGGGACTGCTTTTTCACTTTCCCTCTGTCTCTTTCAGGAGAATGCATGTACCCCATGGCTAGAAAAAAAAAGAAAGAGAGAAAAAGAAAAACTGTCCCTATGACTCCTGATCCCTTTTCTGGCCCACAGCCTTCCCTTCTTTACATCTCCTCAATATGGCACCCTCACTCAGTTCAGCTGCCCCAGGCTCCTGCTCATAGCCAGTCCCTTTTTTCTTCTCGTTCTCCTCCCCCTGGAACCAGAGACCGGACACACACTGGGCCCTGCTGCGGGTAGGAGAGCTACAGGGTGGGCTCATCCTCTGAAAGGCCTCTCACTACTCTGCTTCCTCCAGACCTGGGCAACAGACTGACCGAGCTGACCAAGACTGTGTCTCGACTGCAGAGCGAGGTGGCCGGTGTGCGGCGAACCCTGGCCGAGGGAGGGACGCCTCGGCCTCCGGATGGCGCCAGCATCCTCAGTCGCTACATCACGCGAGTGCGCAACAGCTTCCAGAATCTGGGCCCCCCTGTCCCGGAGACCCCAGAGTTGACAGTGCCAGGGACTGTGGGCAGCCAGGTATCTGTGGAAACGGGGCTTCCGGACACTGGAGGAACGAGGACTCCAGCTTCTGGGGAGTCTGGGCCCTCCTCCCCGGCTCATGTACTTGTGCATCGGGAGCAGGAAACAGAAGGGGCTGGGGACCTGCCCCAGGAGGGGGATTTAGGGACCACAGGGGGGTCCTGAGGCAGTGGAAGCGTCTCCTCTGTTGCTGAGCATGGCAGCCTAGTTGGGTGAGGGTGGGGGCCCGAGTAGGCGCTTGTCTGCTGTCCTCGCCTCCGCCTCTGCTTGGTGTCAGATACCTCCAGAGAGTGTGAGAATCTGTCTTCTGATGCTTTGAGATCCTCCCCCCTGAAATGGACCCTTGTGGGAACAGAGCAGAGGAGACTGGCGTGCTCTGGGGTCACAGCTAGCTTTGGCTTAGAATCCTGCTTTAGGCTTCCTCAGAGTTTAGGTGGAAAGAGGGCCAGGATAGGGGGCAGGAGGTGGGTGCTGTACAAGCCCTCTGACCTTGAGCAAGTAGCTTCCGTCCTTGGCTTTGCATTCCTCACCAGACACAGCTGAGGAATCTGCCCCCCTTCCTGTCTTCACAGCTGTTGTGAGGACCTGCCAGCTGTTGCCGATTCTGAGCTAGTAAGTTACAGTGAGTGGCAGGGACCATGTCTCAGAGATCAACAAGCTACTCTTTCAGTCCCTCAGTCCTTGAGCCTGGCGAGGCCAGAGCCGGGCAGAGGTCCAGCCTCAACGGAATAAACCAGTCAGAAAAGTCCACGTCTTCGTGCTGCAACCCTGTTTAATCAATCGAATGGCCATCACAGTACTTCCCTGGGTTGTCCCAGAAGTCCCTGCCATGCAGCGGGCTCCCTCCACCCCGCCACGGCCTCAGGTCTCCCCACATCCTGCTTGGAGAGATGGCTGCTCGGGCTGTGTCAGGACCATGTTTTTGCTTCTTGAGGCTATTTAGAGCCCCCTCCTTCACGCAAAGGTCACCAGTTCCCAGGACCCCTCAGTGACCGGCACTGGACTTTCAGGGTCCAGCTCCTGAGATCTGGAACCCCCCAGGGACCAATAGCAGGCTCTTCCAGGACAGCAGAGAGGAGGCCCCTGCGGAGGGAGACTCTGGCTGCCCCGCTGCTGGAGAGAAGAAAAGAAGATGAAGGGGTCCACAGGCCAGGAGAGTGAAACCACAGGGAAGGCAGAGGGAACTCACCTGGTCCCGGCACACAGCTCCGCCGCTTCTCACCTACAACAGACAGCACCGTGAGGCCTCCCTCCACGTGGACAAACTCACACCCAAATTTCCCTTCCCAGCTGCTGCAGCAGGGCTACTCCCCTCTCAATCCCTCTTTTCCTTTTCCAAAAGGCAGTCTTCTGATTTCCCTTCCTCCTCCTCTGCCCAGGAAGTCTTTCTGGGTTGCTTACCCACCCCTGCTCCCACCACCTCAGGCCCTCCATTCTGCCCCTGCCTCGGCCCTGGGGAACAGCACACTCCTGCCCAGTCAGCCCCAGCAAGCCCAGGCCTCCCTGAGACCTGAAGCTGTCCTCCTGCCTCTTTTCTCTGCTGGCTAACCTCCCTAACCAGGTTCTTCCGGTCTAGTAGACTCTAGCAGATGGGACCTTTCTAGAACATATGGAATCAGCTGAGGATAGTCACAGATGCGGGCAACATTCTAGGACCCAACAGAACCTCAGTAGTCACAGAGGACTAACTTGAAGGCCTGACTTTCCCCATTCACCAAGTGGGTGTCCTGAGGGCCCCAGGAATGACACAGGGATATCTTGGCTTATTCACATGCCTGCCAGTCCTGTGGCCCCCATGCGCAGCTTACCACCCAAATAGGCGCAGTTGAAGTGGCTGCAGGTCTGATTATAGCTCCAGAGAGTCACTAAGCTCCGGGCTCCATCCTGGGAGAACCTGGTGACCAAGAAGACTTCATGGGGGGGAATCAGCACCTCACGCTCCTTGGGGAAGACAGACAGGGCCTCGATAGGGGCCCCAAAGCAAGTTCTTAGGGAGAAGAGGGTGGCATTACCAAACCTGTGGGCCACTGCCTCATCCAGGGAGCTGGAAGCAAATTGGCCCAAGCGGACAGAGTCGCCCAGCCTCTTGGCTTCAAAGCGAAGACTGCCCATGCCTCGAAACACCATCTCCCCGAGGTCCCTGCTGCAGCCCCCACTGCCCCGCAGCAGCTGTAGGGCCCGGGTCAGGTAGAAATGCAGGGCCTTGAAGGGGAAGTGCCTCATGTAGAGCTCCCGGGAGCTGCCTCCTGTGCGCACGGCCTGGTTCAGCTCCCAGTACAAGGTGTTAGACGAGTTGGTGTAGACCATAACAGCTATTCCATGCTGGGCTTTGAAGCTGGGGGGCAGCGTGAGTCCTTGTCGCCTGTGCTCCCAGGCTTCCTGGGCTGCCTCCCAGGACTCCCGCAGCAGAGCATGGTGGGCCATCTCCTCCTTCAGCAGGGAGGCTGCCTTCTTCTCCATCTCCTCTGAGCAGCCCACATAGGCATCATCAAAGGTGTCTGGAGCCAGGCCCAGGGGCAGGATGGGAACAGCCTGAGCCTATGGAGGGAGGAAGAGAGGAGTAACACAGGGAATGGGAAAGGTTCACAACACTAGACACTAGGGACTTGGAAGCAGATCAGGTCAGAAACACAGACTATTGGGACCAACAGATGGTACAATGGTTACGTCACTGGACTCCCACGTAGTCCATCGCGGTTCAAGTCCTGGACCCAGTTGCTTGAAACTCACGCCAGGCATGTGTGCATGCGTGCCCAAGATCCCAAGAGGAGAATGGAGGAGAAGGGATTGGGGTGTGGCCATCCCCCCTGGGGGGTGATTTCTCGCTTTCTGTCTCTGTCTCTCCAGTGTGCTCCCAGGCTTCCTGGGCTGCCTCCCAGGACTCCCGCAGCAGAGCATGGTGGGCCATCTCCTCCTTCAGCAGGGAGGCTGCCTTCTTCTCCATCTCCTCTGAGCAGCCCACATAGGCATCATCAAAGGTGTCTGGAGCCAGGCCCAGGGGCAGGATGGGAACAGCCTGAGCCTATGGAGGGAGGAAGAGAGGAGTAACACAGGGAATGGGAAAGGTTCACAACACTAGACACTAGGGACTTGGAAGCAGATCAGGTCAGAAACACAGACTATTGGGACCAACAGATGGTACAATGGTTACGTCACTGGACTCCCACGTAGTCCATCGCGGTTCAAGTCCTGGACCCAGTTGCTTGAAACTCACGCCAGGCATGTGTGCATGCGTGCCCAAGATCCCAAGAGGAGAATGGAGGAGAAGGGATTGGGGTGTGGCCATCCCCCCTGGGGGGTGATTTCTCGCTTTCTGTCTCTGTCTCTCCAGTGAGCACATGTGCCCTATAGCAAAAATATAAGCACAGAGTATCATTTCTGTGTCCAAATAGCTCATATCTGCACGTGTGCAAGGCCCCAGACGAGGCTAAAATAACACAGGCACTGAGGTCACACAGACCTGGTTCAGTCCTGGCTCCGTCTACTGCTGTGGGCTCCTGGGCAAGTCTCTTTTCTGGGCTCTAGGTTCTGCAGCTGTAAATTCAGGATACTTCCAGCCTCACAGTTATGAGGAGATTCCCTTCCCATGAACCTAAAAAGGGTCACTTGTCCTTTGAAGAGTCCCTGTACTCTGGGAGCTGGGGCTAGCTGACCTCCAAGGCGTTTTGGCTCTAGTGTTCAGTGTGCAGGTGATATACAGACTCTGAGCTGACGTCCACTCCCTTAGTCCCTCCCTGTCCCCGGCCTCCTTGGACTTTCTCCCTGCATACTTTGGGAGCCCCTGGCAGGTGCTCAGCCACCACCGGAAAGGACTGTCAGCTCTGAGCCTGTGAGCCCTCTCCTGCTTTGCAAGCCTTTATCCTCAAACTTGGCCTGGGATGGGGGTGGGGGGGAGCAAGCTTGGTCTGAGGACTGGCCAGCACACAGGTTCTCTAGGCCGAGGTTGTGGGAGATGAGCAGCGGGAGGAGGAAGCTGGATCCCTAGAGAGAGCTAGTGTGAAGGAGGGAGCGTTAGGCAGGGAGCTGTGGGTGGAGGTGCGGGTGCGAGATAGGGAATAGGAACTTGGGGCTCCCTGCAAAGAAAGAAGCTCCTGGGAGGAAGCAGATTAAGACGACAGGAGTCCTAGGATGGAATCCCTGGGAGGGTTCTGAGGAGTCAGCTTCCCAGCCCACCCCTCGGGCCCTGAACCGTCCCCTTCGAGGCAGGGCATGAGCTCCAGAGTTACCTGCCAGAGGGCGTGGAGGCCCAGGTAGCTGAGGGTGCTCAGCAGGGCCGCCAGCATCATCCCTGCAAGACCCAGCAGGGCGAGTCCGGACGAGGGCAGGGCCAGCGGCGGCGGAGTCCAGGCTTCGACGGGCGCCTGGACCCTTTGTCCTGCGGTGGAGGGTCCCGGGTCCGGGACTCGGCCCAGTCCGGGGGGCGTGGCCGGGCCGGGGAGTGGGCGGGGCCTTGGCGTGCAGTCTGCAGCGCGGCCTCGCGTCTCGGCCCCGCAGGCTCACAGTCGCCTTCCTACT